AAGTTAGCAAGGCTACAGGGCTGACTAAGTTTAAAAAAAAAAAAAAAAAGATTCAACCTTGGATTCTGCAGACGTGACATTGGAAAAGTCCCAGGCAGCTGAGAGATCTTCTTTGTCACTGATATCTAAGAAATAACCCTCAAATCAGTTCCTAGAACTCAGGCACATGTGTATTGGTCCTTTTTTTTCCTAACAGGTTTTATGTAGGAAGGTCCTAGCAGCTGTATGTTTTGAGCCATGCAATTGTTTGCCAGGATCATGGCAAACAAGTCTCTCCTGTTCTTCCCTTTGATGCTTCTCCAGTTAAACACCCTCTGAGTTGAATGTAAGCTGCTGCTCTAACCCTGTGCCTGGCTTTCTTGTAGCATAACTGCCATATGCTCCTAGTATACAGTAATCCCAGGCACTCCAGTGTTGGAAATGCCACAGGAGCTATTACTTGTCAGGACAAGCAATAATTCAGCTGGCAAAATACATGCCTGATGGTGTAGAACTGAGGTCAGCCAAGCCCTGGATATCTCTGAGTAGACTGCAGTGGACAGCAGACTTCAGAAGCATATCAGGCTGTCATATGACAGTTGGCCCTTCTATAGAGTCACTGCTTTTATTGTAGAGCATCAAACCCACTGAAAATGGGGCTGCTACAGCTTGGTTTGGGGAAGTAAGTGCAGGGGAGAAGACTAGGAGCATTTCCTCAAGCTCTTCTTCCATAGAAAAGCTTATTTGGAAAGGTGAACTTCCAGTGAACTTACCCACATAGTAACACAATTCATGAGATCTAGGTGGGATCTAGCTGATTAAATTCTAGCTTGGTGACCACAAAATATTTAGAAATCGGGTATTTCTGCAGTGTCTGAAACAGCTATCGCACAGTTATCTGGTTATAATATATTTGTCTGATTTCCTTTGTAATGGGAGTACATTTGTCTTGCAACTCCTGTGAGCCAGCTTTGTGTCCCTAGGCAAGTCTTTAGTTCCCCCATCTCACCTCAGCAATCAGCAGACCCTGACAGTCCCTGAACTTCATTTATTTATTTTTTCTTGTGAGGCTGGTTCTCCATGCTGCATGCAGAACATCCCAAGAGGAGAAGAGATTCCTATTTCTCAAGGTAGCAGTCAGGTCTCCTGCACTTCAAGCAAATAGTGGAATCAGCTCCTGGGGCTGGCTGATCTTCCTGACTTGTATCAGAGACCTGATGCACTTAGTTCTCCAGCTGCTGCTCTTTATTGGCCCACTTGTGATGCGGTGAAGAGTTCTTGTGAGGATTTGTGGCTTAGAGCTGGCAACAGAATCTAAGAGTCTACAACAGAAGTCGTCTGACCCTGCACTAGGTTCTTAACCTATGTGTATTCATTGTGAAATGGGTGAAATAGTTGCCTAGCTCCAAGGTTGTCTTCAGCCTTAATTTTCACAAGTGCCTGCAGATCTTAGACAAGTGCTAGCAGTTCATACTGTCATGACTGTAAGAGGAGGGGGAAGGGGATTTCAGGCACTGTCCTTTGTCTCTGTGCAAGCTTATGTAACAGCTGAGTTTGTGTTAGAAGTGAAATGGACCCTGATGAATGTATCATCCAGAGCAGGCGCTGTATGTGTCGGTCAGGTGGATGTTACTGGAGTGCTTTTGTCAGGTAAATTGATTTGCCCGAGAGCTGTAAAATCATCGCTGTCAGGGAGAAGCGTGCAGTTTCTGCTTGGGATCTTGCGCATTGTGTTAACGAAAGGCTAATGGATTCTGTTCTTGATGCACCGTTTCCAACGAGGAGAACTCTGTGCTCAATCCATGTGTCGCCTGTAGCATGAGTTTCACCAAATATAGCCTTCCCCTTCATCAGTAGAATCTGAAACCCAAGTAATACTTAGCACAGATTTGGTGGTGTCAGGAGCTGAAGGTGAATCGCATGAGACCCTGGGCACAGTGAGTCCTCTGCAGGATGATTCCAATTCCTTCCTTGTCTAGTTCTGGTTCAGCCTGGGGATGCTGAACACCTTAACATGAAGCTGCAGCAGTTCTCTGCTTCATATTGCATCCATGGATGTGTGGGCAGTGGGCCTGAGAGGCCCTGCACACACTCATTTATGTTGCAATCAAACCAGTATTAGAAATGCATGACACCAGCATGGTTTGGGATAAAAGAGCTTCCTATGTGACAGGCAAGCAGACGAGAGCTGAATCTTAAGACTGGTAAGTGCCCTGAGGATTGGAGGAGACAGGCTAGTATTCGGGATGTGAGGCCTTGTTGTAGCAGTGCAGTGTGACAGTATACAAAAATATGGACCTAGTGTCCAGAGCATCTCAAAAAGCTGCGCAGGTATATATGCTTACCCCGTTCCTCTTACCCCAAATGGCCCTCAGGCATGGACAGGTTCTTGGAGTAGCATGAGCATGTTACACATGATGTTAGCCACACCACAGTGCTGCTTCACTAATATTTGTACAGCATTTTGAAGACCTAAAGCACAAAGGACTTTTGTTTTGTTTTTTTTTGTCTCCTTGTCTAGCACTTGGGACAGAAATGTGTGCATCCATTTCCAGACTCTGGAGTACGTAAAGCTCTGCTTATACACGAAGCATAAAAATGTAATCCCCTTACCTGGTGATTCATCAGTTCCCTGTTAAAAAAAGAAGGTTGACTTCATTCCTTTCTCTTCAGGAACATAAATGAGTGTGAAGGAGACTTTATCATTTAAGCCATGGGGTTTTAAACACCTTTGTAGCCCTCCTTTATTAAATGAAGCTGATTCATGTAAGAGGTTTATACCATGATCAGATCTGTTCATTTTGGCTTTGCTGAATTTATAGTTTTGCAAACTTGGCAATCAGTATTACACTGGACCTTCTCAAAGTTGGTTTTCTGGGAAGAGATCTATTTTGTATTAGCCAATCATTAAATCTGTTCCTTGCTCCTTATTTTTTCAGATCGTCTGTACCTCACTCTGCAGCCCAAGCAGTTCACCAGGTTTTGGCCACAGTTGCTACAAATCAAGCGAAGCAGGTATCTCCAATACTTACTTTTTTCCTTGTTAAATGCTATGGCCTGGCAAATACCATCCTGCTTTTCGTTTCAGCTGCTGTTGAATAGATTGCCATATTTTCCCTTTCCATACCCTCTGCCCTGCACACATTGCAAACCATATCTTAATCGCTGACCTTGGCTGAGTGATGCCAGGCATATCTTTGTTGTGTCTTAATGTTTTTGGTTTCATTTTGCTTTTTGAAATGTCTCACAGGCCATGGCCTTACTGCAGATTCAGGGCTATAAGCAAAGATCATATTAACTTAAGGAAAATCAAGGATGGAGAGTTAAAACCTTTCCTAATGGGGGATTAGATGCTACACAAAGGTAGTGGCCCACATCCCAAAACCACTTAGTTGTTAGTCTTTGTTCAAGAGAATTAGAATGGAAGGAAGAGGCTTGCATTGGGCTATGTGAGGGGTTCACTGGGTGAGTTGAATATCCAAGTTTGTAGTTATTTATGGGTTCATGGCTGGAATTGGAAAGAAGCTGCTGCTTGTTAGGAGAAGGTGAATAGGCATGTTGACAGGTGCTTTGTTCCACTTTCTTCATTAATATGTACTCGACCCGAAAATGCAATAAGTTAACTTGAAAACTTTTCCATTCTGTACAGGGGTCACAATATGTTTGCCTGGTGTTTGTGTTCTGCATTTTTAGGGGCCTCTAACAAGTTCACTTAAAGCACAGTCTCCACCTGTGTCTGCCTCCATACCATGCACCACCCCCGTCACAGCTGGTCAGACACCTGGCAGCAAAATTTCAGGTCGGTGTTTTTTTTTCTGTTGAAATAAAATTGAGGGTCCGGTGTTCTGCCAGCCTTAGTAATGCATTGTCCACAGATGGAAGAAATGATGCTGATTCCTCTTCTGTCAATTGGTTCCTTACTGTTCCAACCTAGAGAGAGTTTGAAAAGCCATGGTACAGAAACTAAATAAGATTGTCACACAAAGCTAACCATATGCTTTTATGTGCTTTGTGTGCATGGGCACGTCTAAAATTCTGCCTTGTGGCAGTTCCTCTTTCATTCTAGTACTGGATTGTGCACGTGCTTAATGTCTGACTTCTGCATTTCTCAGAGCTGTAACTGTTGGAAGCATCTAAAGTGAACATGGGTGTGTTCTTAAATCAACTTCAATGGGAGCCTCTTTTTTTTTAAAATGTATTTATTTATTTATTTTTACATACTGAGTTACTGGACTTTCATTGGAAAAAGGCCTGTAGAGTTCCTTGTGAAGGATTAACAGTAACATTATCTGGTGTTAGTTTCTAACTTGGGGTATGCCCGTGTTGCAGAGCAGTGTAGTCTGGAAGCACCCCTCCTAGCTTCAAGCAAGCAAGCTTGGGTCCTGGCAGCAGCCTGTCTACTGCTGAGGTCCATGACGCCAGGACCGAACTGCAACTAGTATCTGAGCTAGCTCAGTTACCTCCACCCTGTATCCTAGTCTGCATTGTAGGTGTGCACAGGTATCAACCTGAGTATCCCATATCAGGCAGTTGATGAAATGGCAACCAATATTCAGTGTGACCACAGGCCTCCTTAAAGCAGTACTGTTTCAGACCATTTTGACAGCTGATTAGTGATGCAAAACATTTCAGCAGTCACTCTAGCTCCTACAGCCATATGGAGTTTGCAATTGCCAGTAAACCATTGATGTACAGTAGATGTTGTCTCCTTCAGAATGAAGATAAGTGGCCATATATGAATTGGTGTCATTGTTACGTGTTTAAAAGATTGAAGAGGTGGTTGATAACAGACAGGTTGACATTTATCTCCCATAGAGGTTTCTCTTTCCCATAGAGTATCTAGGCTGAAAGAGGAACCCGGCAAATCACACGCATGTAATCTTCTGACGCCTAGAACCTGGTGTATATTGTTACAAAGGGAGAGGTAGCTGTCTCTTTGCAAATGGCTTTAAAAGGTGTTGAATACACTTCAACATGAATTAATCGCTGATCCAGTTGTCTGCACCATTGTTTTTCTATGACTTCTGAGGTCTGCTCTCAGCTGTGATCAAAGGGATTATCAAATGTTTTCCCTCTAGGCTCTTTTGGCTTTTGTGTATTAGTTTGGAGATGCTCTGGATACTGTTAATCACTCTTGTTTTTCAGTGCACAGCAAACTTGTATCTAGAAATCTGTATTAACAGACTGGTGGAAGAATGTTGAAACGTGGTATTTATAGAAAGGGGCGGGTGCTGTAGAAGGAAGAAATTACTATTGAAAAGATCCAATATGTAACTTGTCCCATTCCCCTCCTGAACCCATATTGATTTCTGATATTTTCCATAGTAAATAACTGGGTGAAAGTGCAGTGTCTAGTTGCTGAAATTGGGCTGCAGTGGAGCTTTCTGTGGGAAGTGAGAGTTATGTCTCACGTTGTGCCAGACTAAAATATTGCTGTCCACCCTGCTGTTGTTTCCAGGTGACTTTTCTCAGTAGTGACTTTAACCTCTCCCCTGCTTTGGTGTAGAAAGGATTCAAAATGAGGGCCTACCCTATTAAAAGAGCAGTTAAAATTGGTCGGATGAAGGAAAGGGAGTTGAAACTAGGGTAATCAAATGGCAAGAGTAAATGGTCTCTAAAAAATCAGTGTTAATTAGCCTCTTTGCCAGAGGGAGAGCACCTAATGCTCATCCCTTACTGCCATGGCCCAACGTAAATAACCTTACAGTATCAGTCAGGGCTCTTCAGTGTCACTTCCAACCTAATTTCTGAATTGTGGCTCATTTTCTCCGCAGAAAAATGTGAACAGGGCAGAACCATGATTATATTTAAGGAAAACAGAGTTGTTTTACTTTGTGCAGTGAAACGAGAGAGAGAAAAAGGTTGGAGTGATCCTCGTCATATGCGGGTTAGATAACAGCTTTTGAACTGTGTGGGGGTCTTGGAAACTTCTCACGCGAGCGTCTGAAATCCATCACTCCGTTAATACTCGTGAAATATTCCCTTTAATCCATAGACGTGTGTTGCCTCTTAGAGAACAGTTTCAATGCACGTAGGCAAGAATCCTATCTGACATAACAATAAAAGGAAAAGTCATCTCTTAAATTTTAGTTAGCTGAAAATGTCAGGGTTTGAATTTGAATGTTGGTTGTTATGGTGATAGTTTCAGGAGGGAGCACTGTCATGGATCTCTTGGTAGTTGGCTTACCATCTTATGTTTATTACCTTATAAGAAAATGTGCCATTTAGCTGTGCTTTTTAGTCAAACATGCATTATTGCCTTAATTTGGGGGGGATAATTTGAGTCATCTTCAGCCTTAAACTCATAACAGCAACACTTCCGCACCGCATACAGCTATCAAGCCACACACAAGTGAAAAACAAAAACAGAAATGTGCTTCCTGAGGAAGTGACTTGAGAAAGCATTTTTCTTTTCTGCTCTGTTTGCAGTTTGGGAAATAAGCCATTGTGTGTGCTGGGGGGAGTGGGGAGCAGGGATATTTGAACTTCTCTTCTTTTTGACACTGCGCCTGATCAATCAAATAAAATATGTAAGAACTCCACTAAGCACAGCCCATGGCACAGAAAGGCTGTGCTGGGGCATCTGTAAGGGAAATGATAAGGAACTGCTTTTGCATCTGCTGCTGTTTTTTCCCTGCAACAGGGGCAGGGACTGTAAAACCAGCTGCAACTGTGACCACTTCTGCAGTGACATCCACTCCAGCCACAGCTGCCCAGTTTAACAAGACATTCTCATTCCCATCTCTGGGGTTTGTATGAACTTTCTTAAGACACAGTACCTTTTCTTTTTTTCAGTATTATTGAACTATTGCAACACACATTTTCAGTGAACGGGGGAGCATTGAAAAACAGCTGCTGCTGTTAGTTAACTAAAATATTTTCAGTTGGTATGTGTTTAACTGACCCTAATGGCTCCAGTCAAGGCTTATGTGATTTGTAGAGGCTGCATAAGCTAGTCCTGAAGTGTAGCAGGAATCTGGCACAACTTAGTGTTGCTTTGAACATTTTCCATTCTAAAATTCTCCAGGGAAGGCAGGTGAAGACTGTAGGTGCACCTCTCTGAGGCCGTGGGTTGAGGGTACAGGAACTGTAGAGACTGGAAAGCATGTGCTATATTTTTAGGAAGTCCTTTAGGTCACAGTCCAGTGGTTTAAATCAAGACTAGATGTATTAATGCAGTTAAATGTTTAAATTGCCCTGCTGGTGCTCACAGAGTCTAGATTCACTCTGCCTAATAAATGCGGAACAGGGGCTGCTTTCCACTGTCTACCTGTGTGTTCCTCCTTGGAGAGGTGCAGGACAATGCATACATTTCATCCTGCATGATAGGAGGTACCTGCTCGGGCTTTTCTGGGAAGATGATAGGGGAACAGAGTGAAGATGGCCTTTTCCATAGCCCTCTACCCAGCCAGATCAGAGAGGTGACCATGGAGCCTTTCCTAGCTACTAAGGCAAGAGCATAAGAGAATGAGCTCCTCATTTCCTTACAGCTAAGAGCTAAAGAGTAGAGGTCAGAGTTGAGGGCAAAGGGAGCTGGGCTAGCCCTTAGCTAGGTTTTTATAGCCTTTGCTTGTAGATTTAATTCTCCAGCAAGAGTGGGGTTAATTTTTCTAACCCTGGATGTACAGCATGTTTGTGATGAGAGCTATGCACAGTGGTAGTCTGATGCACAGAAGCACCAATATTCCTAGCTAGGATTGGAAATATGGGCTGGCAATCCAGCCTAAACTCTGAAATTTTAAAAAAACCTATGCACAACAGCATGAGTACCATATTGTGACTTGAAAAGTAATCCACTCACGGAGGTGACTAAAGAGTCCCAGTGCCATCTGGTGATGTCTGTTACATAAGCACTAACGCAGAGAGAGGCATGGGTTGTAATGAGATAAGAGCACATAGTCATGTTGTAACCTCTTCTCTGGAGTGTTTCAAGGGATGAGATGATAAAACCTCTTTAAAACTTCCCCTTTAAAAAAAAATTCCTTGTTTTAGGTAGCTACACTACAAACAAATTTGTTTATGAAGCAGGAAACCATAATGAAACCCAAAACTGCTCTCCAGTTGGTTTCAGCAACTTGAGGTGAAAGGCCACAATTTCAGGAGTCTCCATTATGATGGCTTCATTCAGTATCTAAATAAAATGAGATTAAACTGTACTCCAAGAATTGTCGTCATAAAATAATATTACTGTGGAAATGGGCTGTGAAAAATAGACCCTTAATTTATAAAAACGTCATGGATCATGAACTCCTGGAACACTGGAGAGAGTATATAATTCTTGTGATTCATATATGCCTACCTTTTACTTGATTTTTAAATGAAATGCCCTCACTTTTAAAGGTGTAACTGCTGCTGCCACTGCTGGGCCAAGTGGGGCTTGAAGTACAGAGCTCTCCCTCTGTGGCTGAATGGAAGAGAGGAGTAGAAACTGGAGAGGAGATGTGCCCAGGTGGAGCATGGTCAGAAGGGTTTTGAACAGTCTCTGTGCACCTTTACAATAGGCAGGGTAACAAATTGAAGCCATTGTCCCTGCATGTCTCAGTTACTGCAGAGAGGTATTTCCAGGTTTAGCTGAGATAGGTATATGTGCATAGACACAGAGCTTTGATTTTTTGCACAACCCTGTGCTCAGAGCCATTGTCTGTATTAATCATATGGAAGGAAGTTTTGACATTATGAACTAAAGTGCTTTTTCTTCCGTTTTTTCGTCCTCTTCGTCCCTAGGGCTGGGTTTAATTTTGGTGCATCAACTGCAGCAGCATCAGCACCACCCATCCTGGCTGCCTCTCAAGGTGAGTTCTTTGAAGTGTGCAAATCACAACGTATTTTCTGCTTCTCCAGTATGTGAACACTTACTCCTTTTCATGCCTATAGTTCTTCTGTTTTTATGTTGCTTCTCTTCTATTATTAAAACTGCAGTAGCTGCAAGAATATTGTATTTCCATAGAATTGCTGGATTATACTATGTAATGCTTCAGAATCCAGGCCACCTGTCATTCAATTAAGAAAAAGTGAAATATTTGGTGCCAAGAACATCAAGTGAAGTATTAGCATATGAAAAGGACAGTATCTGAAATGATTCCTCCACTACCACTAATCTGCAGACTTTAAAATAGCATAGGTTAAGGTGGCCAGCTGCCGAGTGCCATCGGCTTTAAGTAGTGTGACCACATAATAAAATGATGGAGAGGGGTAGGAATAGATTATAGCTGTGCACTTCTTAGAAGCTGTTGTTCAAAAGCAGTAGGCTGCTTTCCCTACTTCACTCATTGTTTTGTGGCTGCGTCATGTAGCAGTAACTCCCTGGAGCAAAGGGTCCCTGCCATGTGCGTGTGTTTAATTCCCCATTTGTTACAGGAGCAAGAACAGGTTCCTCTTACTCTTCAAGTTTCAGATCAAGATCATACAAATTTAGGAAAATAAGTGATAAAGGAGAACAGGAGGCACAGCAGGCTCAGCGGGCAATTTGTAATACTCTGAATTGTATTTGGGTAGCTCTCAATTCCTTACATTGCTCCACAAGTCAGCAAAAGCACCCTTGCCCCTCTGGTAGCTGTTGATGGTAAATCTGGAAGTTCAGAATGAAGAAATACAGAAGACATCTTCAAGCTTAGTCAGGAAATAAAAGTGAGAGAAGGGTGTTGTACCTTCCATGGCCCCAAAACTCAATGGCTTTCCCCAGCCCCAAATCTCTAGTGCTCTGTCCATCCAAAAAACCCAAAACAACTTGAAGCGTATTGCCCCATGTGTTCTCAACTATGTGCTTGCATTCCAGGCACAGAAATGTGATTAAAAATAATCAAATGTAATTAACGCACTCTTACTGCAAACTTCCTAAATTACCCTTTCCTTGGTAGTTCTATAGTAATGAATGCAGCTACTGTGACAATTACATTCAAGTGCTTTTTTCCCAGTATTTGAAAGATTACAATAAACTAAGTAAAACAATGGTTAATGTTCTAGAAATACCTTGGGTTTATATAGAGAGATTTACTTCTGTAGAAAATTCTGCAGCTACCTTATGCCTTAACCACAGCTAAGAGCCATTGCTTAAATGAACAGATCTCCAGTACACAGCAGGGCTTTTTGCAAAGCTGAAATACTTAAGTGTCAAAAGTGGTAGTAACAGCTACTGAGGCTGTAATAGAGATGGCTTTCTAGTTATATCCATTAGAAAATGGGTATTAATAACGGTGGCACTTTCACTGTATTCAAGGCATAGTATCTTAAGTAGAGGCTACAAAAATACAAGCCCATCAAATCATTGTTGCCATCTCTATAAAGATGTAGGCTTCATGTATAGCTGTTGTGGCCTCTGGAAAGCAGAAGTTAAAGTGGAATGGATAGTTAATTATTTTGTCAGGAGATTTTAAGGTCTTTGGGGTCAGAGCAGTGCCTTCGTTCCTGTCTGTGGCGTGCTTGGCATGCCAGCACTGTGAAGATGATAAATGAGCCCTGCATCCTGTAACTCATTTTTTCTAATTCTTTTTATGTCTTTGAATCAGTGACAGCGCCTGCTAAAGAGTTGAGCCAGCCTGATTCATTTTCCACTGCTGGGGGCTCTAAATTTGGAACCGTTCCCGAGAGCTCCTTTACATTTGGGTCCATCAAACCAGCTGGTGTTTCAGGAGCCTCCACTTCTGTAGATGCTGCACAGACCAACAGCAAACCTGCCCCAACGGCTACTTCAGTTCCCCCCGTGACTTCTGGCAAAATGGAAACCCCTCCATCAAAGCCTGGAGATCACTTGTTTCAGAGTAATCCAGCCGGAGAAACTCTTGGGAGCTTTTCAGGTCTAAGGGTTGGTCAGGCAGATGATAATGCCAAAGTCAGCACTAAAGCTCCATCTACCAGTGTTGTTGGTGCGCAGCCTCCTAAGGCCTCCACAGTGCCTTCAGGATTTACCTTTGGCAGCTCTCTTCAGCTAGGGAAACCTGTTGAGGCTGCTGCTTCCACATCTGTCCCAACCACTAGTCCAGCATCCACATCAGTCAGCACGAACGCCACAGGCAACATATTCGGTAATGTCCAGTTAACCAATGCAGGTGCTTCTGGGGTGTTTAGTCTTGGAGGAGCTTCGAATAGCAGTAAGCCCAGTTTTTCATTTGGTATTCAACAAGCCACCAGTACGAGCACGTCTACCCCTGCGCCAGCAACCCTCTCAGCTTCGACATCCCTGTTGTTTGGAGCTCTTTTGAGTTCAGCACCAGCTGCTGTCCCTTCTGCTGCTTCTGGTAAAAGTACAGGGGACATCAAGTTACCACCCGTGTCTGAAAAGCCACCTGAAAGTGAAGTGCTGCCACCTGGGCCGGCACCTTCATGTTCTCAATCACAGCCACCCCAACCACAGGCTCAGCTGCCTGATTCTGTTAAAGAAACTGCCGTATCTTTAGCTGCTGCAGGAGACACGAACATTACAGGTTTAAGCACTGTTTTGGTGACACCTTCCACAGAAGCAGCTTCTACAGTTGCCTCTGTTAGTGACCCCAAGGTGGTGACGGCAGTGGTTCCTCCTGTCTCTAGCTCTGCCCCATTGGATCAAAATGCCTCGGTCACCACGTCTACAGCAAATGTTGCTTCTGCAGAGACAACAGGTTCTTTGGCTTCTGCCTCTGACGTTGGTACATCTCTCCCGAGTCCAGCTGTAGGTACCTCTGCATTTGTGGCTGCCTCTTCAGGTTCCTCAGTTTTCTCTCAGCCTCCCAACTCCAGTTTGTCTGGTTCTGCATTTAGTCAACCTGCTAGCGAAACGGCAACCACCCCTTCCACTCCTCCTGCTTTTGGGCAGCTGTCAGCAACAACCACAACATCATCTCTGTTCAGTCAGCCCGCAGGCGGCGCACTCTCCACCACTGCAGCCACTACCCAGGTGGCTAGCTCAGGTTTCAGTACGTCCACATTTGGCTCTGCAGCAGCTGGTGGTTTTGGTCAGCCAGCATTTGGACAGGCACCAACCTTTGGGCAGCCAGCAAGCAGTTCTTCAAGTGGTTTCACTTTCAGTCAGACTGGGTTTGGAACAATGCCTGCCTTTGGCCAGCCGGCTTCATCCACTGCAGTGTCAAGCAGCGGAAATGTTTTTGGAGCCCCCTCTAGTACCAACAGTGCCAGTTCCTTTTCCTTTGGTCCCAGTAGCGGGCTGTTTGGGCAAAGCAGCGCACCTGTTTTTGGGCAAAGTACTGGGTTTGGACAGGGTGGATCAGTCTTCGGTAACACTGCTGCTGCCACCACCACTACGTCATCGGCTGGATTCAGCTTCTGTCAAGCCTCAGGTAAGAAAAGATGGTAGTAGTGAGATGATAGAGTTAGAGCATGCCTGTCAAGCTGATGGTAGGTGAGCAGTGTTTCATAGAGAAAAGTAGGATTAATTTTGGATGCGTCTGTTGGTCTGTCAGCAGAGGATATAGCAACCTTGCCCCACACACTGCCATTCACTGAAGGGGGTTCTCCAGCTGAATTAATACCTTCAATGTTCTGGTCTTATCTTACTGCTTTATTCCAAGGATCTAAAGTCCTTCAAAATTGCCACTTAATTCTAATATTTGAGGCTACAGTGAATCCAACGTACCTGTGCTATGGGACCATGAGACGCACAGGATCTGGGCTTCTCAAGGTAGGCCTCAGATCCTTGTAAATGAGTACAACTCAGATGCCTCTAGCCACCCTGAAGCAGTGGGTGAATTAGGAATTCATCTTCTAGTTCAGTAGGGTTTTGCTTAAAAACAGGTTTTGTAATTAAATAAAGAGGTAATATGGCTGTTGGGTTCTTGCCTGTGTGTGCTGGTACACCATTATTTACAGAGGCTGGGATCCTTGTTCACCCATCTTCTCCTTTTGTTATCCATGTTGCAAAAACTTTTTTCTGTATCCATCTGCAGAACCTTCAGTGGAAGGTGTTCAAGCCAAAGGAATCACAGTTAAAATCTATTTTTTAGAAAAAACACCCAGTTAGGCTCATTTAATTATAAAAGACAGGACTGCAGGAAAGTATTACCTTGTGTTAACTACAGTACCAAAGAATATTTAAGCCAGGGGGAAGTGAGTCTGCAAAAGGAAGGTGTTCCTAATTGCGGAAGCTGCAAATTTTATTACAAAATGAGTGTTTAAGTGAATTGGGAGATGGAATCAGGAGTTCTTTTTAATCAAAACATTTCATTATCTTTAATGGGAATCCTTAGGTAACAGCTCAGATCCTCTGTACACGAGGGAAATCAAAATGCTACAATACTTGTTCGTAGCTTGTAGCGTTACAGTGATGTTGGCAGAATGCAAGTTCATTTGGATTGTTAGCAACAGCTTCAGATGCTAAAGGGTATTTTAGTTTAAAATTTCAGTTTAAAATGTGGTGTGAAGAGGCTTTTAAAGAAGGGTAAATATAATTTCAAGTTTTATACTAACCATACATTGGGATGAATCTGATTCTCTTTAAACCTGGTGGCTCCAGTGCTAGTGGGTGATAACTTCAGCAGTGTTACTAAGTCAAACCCAAAGCATCATGAAGTGCTCTGTGTGTGTGTGTGTGTGTGGGAGCTGCTACATTGCTTATGATTTGTCCTTTTTATTCTCTGATACCACAGAAAAGTGCCGGGTGGGATTATATTGGAGCATTGTTTCTCTTTTTCCTCTCCACAGGTTTTGGTTCCAGCAACACAGGTTCTGTGTTTGGACAGGCAGCCAGCCCTGGAGGCACTGTCTTTGGCCAGGTAAAGATCATGTGTGTCTCAGCATATGTGGTAGAAGACTGTGGTCAGAAACACACTAGTTTAGAGTGGTCTGCCTGATTCTAGCAGACCAGATCCTGTTTTGCATGCAGCCCTGGACAGTTTTCAGTTACCGTGTTGGTGATACTTGCTTAAGCAGGATGAACTTTGCCCAGCGTCTGAATAAAAGGCATCCTGATGCACGCCTGGATTCTTCTTGTGCCAGATTGGGCCATTTGAAGCAGATAACACCACAATCCAAAGTGTAAATGGGCACAAAAGTTAGTAACGAGGACTCCTTACTCATTAGCTCCAGGGAAGGGTGCATGAGCTCTAAATAAAATTGTTGGCTAGGTGCAAAAATGTACAGCCTCAGCAGTGTTTGCAGGGAGTACACTGGATGTCAGACCAGATGATCGGGTTGTATACATACTATACCACTACGAGTCTGAAAGAGCCATTCACTTATTTAGAATTGGCATGAGGTGGGGAGTCTGTGAGCTCCTCTTCCCCTTACATACCTATTACCAATGGGACTAGGCCAGCCAAAAAGCAACCACAAGTATATATGTTTGTTGACCTGTGCTGCTTTCTTGTCTCACGTCCTTTCTTTTTCCTAGCAGCCATCCTCTTCCAGCGGAGGCTTGTTTGGGTCTGGCAGTGGTGGGAGAAGTGGAGATTTCTTCAGTGGCTTGGGAGGAAAACCAAGCCAGGATGCAGCCAATAAGAACCCGTTTGGTTCCTCTGGTGCAGGATTTGGATCTACAACTTCCCAGAGTAAGTAAAGAAAAGAAGAATATAAGATGTACTGCGTTTGCTTTTGGCTCACTTTTTGGCTCTGTCCATGGGTAATTTATGCATTAGTATGAAATGCTCACCCAGGCAACAGAGGTGGATGTGGATGGTGCATACTTCTCTGAACATCTACTTTGCGTTTCCAGTTTAGGCAAAATAACAGGGCAAGAGTCCAGATAGAGATGCACAGAAGGGAGAAATGTAAGGAATGTGTATATTTTGAAGGAATTTCCTATAGCAAAATGCAGTTGTTCTTAGAACTCAATCTCTAACTTAGAAGCCTTCATTATTTTTCATTTGCTATGTTAATGTGGAGCCCCACAAGATACCATTGTCTTCTCCTGTCATTTTGATTCCTTTCATTCTTTGAGCTGCCAGTTTGTAGGTAGAGGTGACAACTTACAAAACTGGTTGTGGTTAAATGTCCTGCTGTTAATGGCAGGAGAACCAAAGCTTGTTTCACTCATGGTATCTTAGCACAGAGAGAGACACACCATATATATGAACCAGACATTAGCACTGTGTTTAAACAACAGATGTACTCAACATATGAATCTACTGACGAGTCAGGGCCCAAACACTTCTGTACAACCTTCCTTTCTCTTTTCTCTTAATTCAAAGACCCAGATTTGTCTGATTTCAGATCATGTGAGTTGGGCTTCACAGTCCTTCAGACCCTGTAGAAAACCCTGGCATCTCCACCACTTGTTCAGGAAGCTGCATCTCTTTTTATTAAGATGCTACATCTAAGTGCATATTCTGGGTTACTCCGAATAAGGAACATCAAGAACCAGGACAACTGCATAAGCTCTGGGCAGATCTTGGGACTGCCTCTGCAGTCCATTTTAGACCAATGGCTTAGTTTAAAGCATGTCATCTGTAACGTAGATCTAACTTCAGGCAGTCCCACCCTTTCCATCTAGCAAGGTTTTGAGTTTAAAGTATAGAGAGATTGTATCTGAGATTTATATATATGCAGGTTAGTGTCTGAGCACAACAGTGAAAGGTGATTTAAAGGAGTGAGAAGAAGCGAGACATGCCCTACCGTCTGGCCCTCTGGAGAGGTTTGATTTGGACCTCTTGAGTGCAGCCTATTCTTCAGCAACTCAGGTAGGTGTCCTACACTGACATAGCTGGTACTTTTGAGTTTGGAAATGATTGGTGTAAAGACCTGCTCCTGACTGGTATGGAGGACAGGTTTGGGAATCTTGCTTTGCAGAGCTGCTGTGTTTGTAGGGATGAAGTACAGCTGCCATTTAAAGACTAATTCTGCCACAGGTGTAACAATATCCAAATAGAGTTGCTTGCCGTACAGGCTTGAAACTGTTTTCAAGGACAAAGAGCATTTGTCTGGCAAGTGAAGCTCGCTTCGATTGGTGAGTCCTTGAAGATGTTGTATGGATAACTTGATCCTTGCCACTAGTCAGCAGGAACAAAACTTTCAGTAACACTTCAGCGTTGAGAGAGTCAAAAGAATGAAGACTCCAAAGTGCTGAATCCAGTTGCCTTTCGGGAAAGAGCAGGAGGAAAAGAGGGAACTATTCTTTTTTCACTCTTCGTACCCAGAACTGTGCTCAGATACTATATGATATAGATGCAGTACAGGCAGTCCTCAGACTTAGGACACAATTGGTTCCTGAAAACCATGTCTTAAGTCGAAACATTGTAACTCAGAACCAATTTTCTTATAAGAAACAATGTTATAAATGGGGGATGATACCCTATTTTCACTAAAAATACCCAGAATTTTGTATTCGATCAATTATAGATGAGCAATATAGAATTTATATTGTAAATAGCAATCATATTGATTATAATATTATATTGATCATATTATATTTATATTGTAAATAGCGATCATATTGATTTGGAAGGACTTGTTTGAGGTGACTTTGCTGGACTTTTTGAAGGGTTCTTGGCTGGAGTCTTCTCAGGAGTCTTGGCTGCAGGTTTTTCTGGAGTCTTGTCTAGTTTTTTAAAGAAAGCGTCCAAGGAAGTTTGGACAGATGTTCTCCAGGCAGATGGGCAACACAGCGAACTTGTTCGCTGGCATGGCATCACATCGGATCAAGCGTTGTAAAGTCGAAACTGACATCATAAAGTTGCAACAGGGTGTCAATTTATAAACTTTGTAAGTCGAGGACTGCCTGTATAAGCATGTAGGTCGGTATTTACAACAGTTTGTAATTGGTCCTGTCTAACTTGTCTAACTGCATCCCTTGGCTGCTCCTGTCTAAGCAGGATCCTTTCCCTACTTAGAGGCTTTAACATTTGTGACGTGAACTTAGGTTCATGAAAGCTTGCACTTTCTCTTGCTCACTCCGTCTCTTATTTAGTTAGAGTGTAAAGGAGCAATATATACCCTGGCTTCTGACTGACTTCAGACTAATGTGGTTAACTACCTCTCTCCGTTAGGAGACAGTCGTACATTCTTCACCTGCAAAGGCAAGTCTGTTTCGAACAGAACCAGTTAATACCACATGTACCTCTCCATTGAGTAGAGTTAAATGCCGTTTTTCTCTTTAATGCCAAAGCTGAAATGTATTGCCTCCAGAGATCAAGATCACCAAATGATTCTCATAGGAAACAAACATTTAGGTTAGATTAGCAATATTTTATACTGACAAATACAGCTGTTGACTAATCGAGCAGGCTAGAGAAAACGGAGAGGATAGAAGTGATGTATCCTCTCTGCAGGAGAATTTAGATCCATAGCCCCAGCTATACAAATCCCAGCTATACAAAGAGCCAAGTACCCAACTAAGTCCACAGAAATGAGTGCAGAACCGTTTTTTTCTAGTTTTCCTCCTTTAAAGAATGTCTATATAAGGGGTATAAAACATTCGAAATAATTGGCATTCTAAATAATCTCATATTCCTTTAAGTCACTTTTCACATTCAAGTGGTAATATCAAAGAAGCAGTAAGATTTGAATGCATTGACTCTACAGAGATGCTGTCAAGGATGTGAAATGCATTTAACAGCATATATAGCATGGCTTGGATTTTTATTTATTTAATTATTTACAACAATAAGAGTGTTAACCCCATAGAGAGGTGGTTAGGCTTGTTAGTCTGCTATGTTATCCCCATATAGGCCATTCTGACCTGGGGACTTACCTTTCATCCTGTTTGGGGGCCCATCTTTGTTTTGATGGCCCGTGTTGTACGTGGTCTTTATGCTGGCCCCTTCTGTGCCAAGGTACTTTTCATCCTTGAGGAATTTGTTAATAATGAAACCTTAAAAGAAGAAATAGAATAAGGATGGCTGGGGGCTAGGAGGGATTTAAGAGAGAAAATGTGAGAGTAAGGGCAGGGAGAGGTAATCAGTACTCTAAAGTGGACCTTCTGTTGGTAGAACTGGAGAAAGTTTGGCCTGGGATTTTGTTATTAATGTGAAGTTGAGGCAATACAGAACTATCAGACTAAAAATTTGTTAGTCTGAATATGTACTAGCAAGTCTTGGGTATACCCTAGGAAACTGCTTGCCCATACGGATATCAGTAGGAACAGTGGGAGGACTACCATTAATTTTATACTTGACTCCATTGCAGACTACTCCAGAGAAGCATGTAATAGGTACATCTGTATTTAAACAGAGTTGGAAGGTTTAATTATTTATCAGTTGTATTCTTCCTTTAATGAGGTGCCTTGGGTCCTTTATTCTTTTTCCTTTGCAAATTGGGAGGTAGTAGAGAGGTAGCAGGAGATGATTTTCATGCATAGGGAGCCCTGAATGGCCGGCAGAAAGGAAGGTAAGTAATAGCCAAGGGGTGGAAGGTAGGGGAGGAGAAGAGAAGCTTCAGAATTTACTAAAAGGATCACTTAAACACTTGGAAGAAGCAGTCTGTTCCCTTTGTTATCTTAATCGTCATAGTCCACCAAGACTAAAGACCAACTTTATTTTCATCCTTGCCAGTTCATCCCTCCATAACTTTAATATTAGGCTTGACGCCAAGGGAAGAGAAATGTTTTACCAGGGAAGTACTTTGCCCCTACAGGGCCATCAGGTTGCAGAAGACACAAACAGTGCAGCCCGGTAGAGGACAGAACTTCAGGTCCTGCAGATTAGACCATATAACAATAAAAAACTCCTACGTCTTCTTGCCCAAAGTATTAAAAATTTGTAGTTGAAATGCATGGCATCTAGCTAGTAGCCTTGTGTGAGGAAGGACCATTTTACAGTGACCATAATTTCCAATTTGAAAGCCTGACTTCTAATTACTGCAGTGGAGAATGATGCAAAGCAAATCATACACTGTCGTCTTCAAAGTGGATATAACAGTAATTGCTCTGGATTTATTGTCACTGAAAAATAAGACAACAAAGAGGCTACTAGCATCCTGTTGAATCCAGCTCTGCTGGAACAGGAAAGGCTTGGTCTCCTTCAATAGGATGCACTTTTGAATAGGGCATTTGTGATGTGCTGAGAGGTAGAAAGGAGGCTTGCTTTCGCATGTGGTGTGCTGAGATCTTCACAAGTGTTCTTCATCTCTCCAGATACCTCTAGCTTATTTGGAAACAGTGGAGCCAAAACCTTTGGATTTGGTACCTCAACTTTTGGAGAGCAGAAACCTACAGGCACTTTCAGCTCTGGAGGCGGGAGTGTGGCATCTCAAGGTTTTGGGTTCTCTAGTCCAACCAAAGCAGGTATCGTATTAACAAACCTACTGTGAACACCCACATTGACTTGTAAGATTTAGAAATGTCCCAGCAGTCAGAAATCTACAGTCCCACCCCTAAATATATGTATAAGTATTGGCTCTGAGTAGTAATCCAACCTGTGGTGCCAGCTATTTTAAAAAGGGCTTCAGAAGGTAGAATTTCAGCTTCTAGATTCAAGACCTAGTATTTTATAATCTATGTAACCTTTGTCTTTTAAACGATCACAGGCTCATGTGTAGCAGTGCTATGATGGGGAAAGCTTCCCCAGAACATCTATGTCATGACTTCCTCAGATCTGTTCTTTTAAAATCAGTTTGACCTAACTAGGATGTGGCCCTTTCTCTCTTTCCTCAGGTTGAGCTGTAGTGAATACTAAATCTATAATCCCTCGTGCTGCTCTATTGATTATGTTTATGCTCTTTAAGAAAAGTATTGGGGATCTTGCAAATATATATATTCCTTGTTTGTTTTCCCAGTGAAAACAATGAATGAATGATGACTGTGATGTGATACGATGTCACTTAAAACCAAACAGGACAGTGCTTGTCTTGTTAATTGCAAAAAAAAAAAAAAAAAGAAAGAAGCAAAAGTGTTAGACAAAGGGAAGCTTCCTTCTGTGATTATTGGAATATTTTCACAATGCATACCCATACTGCTTGGGGTTGTGCTACAGCAAATGTGTCCATCACCCTCCCCACCCCAGAAAAAGCCTTTACTAAGTCAGAGTTGGAGACGGGGATCTTTCAAGGTCTTGTTACAGAAGTGTTACTGCATGATTAGTATTGAATGGGGGTGGCCTCAGAGCTGTTGCTGACTGTGCTCTTGTATTACCGAGGAGGCTAAGCGTAACGCTTGTGGTGCTGCTAGCCCCAATAGCCGTTTTGGTGTTTCTCTTAAGTGCTTCCCGTGGGTGAATGTTGTACTCGTCAAGACAGCCTCCTCCATTCATTTATCATCTATTGGAGGAGGCTGGCATCAGTGGATGACTCTTCATCTACTACCTGAGATGTTCTCCTTTCCATTGCTAGCTCCAATTTCAAAGACAATCTTAAGATGGAACTTGCTGACAAGTCGCTGCAGGAGGCATTTTTGCTGCTGCAGGACCTCCTTAAACTTTTTCCTGCTCCAATTCAAAGGGTTCAACACCATAAAAAGATGATGTGGCTGCTTCTTCTGCCTAGTGCGATAAGAAGAACGGTCCTTAGCAAATCAAGCTCTCTTGTTCTGTTTTAATTCTAGATATTGCCCAGCCTTCTCATTTTTCATGTTTGTTAGCATCCAGTACGCAAGAGAGCCCTTCCAGGTCTGAGCTCCAACGTATTAGATACAGACCTGTGTCTCTAGGAAGAAAATGTAACAGGATATCTGATCTGTGTGTAAATAATTCAGCCCTAGCTTTTATTTTTTCCAGACCTTTGTGTTTACAACCAAACAGTATCCATTACCTTGGCATGCACTGGAATTTCACCCAGGGTATTAAAATGCGTTGTGTTATCCCAAACATCAGTCCTAGTCAAACAGAAGCAAGTGTCCTTCACATTTCACAAAGCCAATTATAAACCAGCAGCTGGCGTTGGTAGAGTGAATGCAGAATAGATAAATCCAAGAGAAAGAGTCAGAAGCTATAGGAGGAGAAGGTGGTTAAAGCACTGGACAGGAATGCAGAAGGCTTGCATTCAGTTTGACTTGGTCATGCAGATTTCTGTGACAAATCCTGATCTTTGTGTCTTGGCTTCTGATCACTAAAACAAGCCCTTTGAAGGCATCTTAATTGCGGTGATCAAATACCCCTATCAACACAGAGCTTAAGATCATACGTAGAGCGGAGCAAATCTTACTTATTGCACTGGAGATTCTTCCACATTTCTAATCCTCTGTAGACAACACAACATGCACCTGATCTGAAAGGTCTCCTGTCAGATATTTAGCCACACACAAATGTTTCCTGGTGCAGTATTAGGGTGACAGTATCAGTGGAACCAGCCTTTGCAGGGAATTTTTTTCAGCTGCTATTTTTCCATGTAGATTTCCTCAAATGTTTGTAGCTTGTATAATTCATGCTAACAGGGTTTTTTAGATGGGGGGGCGTTAACTCTGCATAAGCTAAGCTTTCGCTGTTGGGGGAACAAGTTCATTAATGAAGGATACATGAACTTTTGTTTAAATAAATGAAAAGCATCAGGCTGCAATCTATTGCCATGTGTTTTATGTCAGTATAATCCAGTTAACATGGATACATGCTAACTCTCAGTTCAAATATCTAGGTTTTATATGAGACAAGTAAGCTAGTAATGCATCATGCAAGCCTGAATATTTATTTGTGGACTTTGAGTGTTGCGTGTGGATATCCTATTGGGTGCCTGCTGGAACCTAGTTCAACTGAAAAATGATGCTGTCTAAGGAATGCTCTCAAGAAACGTTTGGATGCTTATCTTGCTGGGGTGATCCTGACCCCAGCTGACTTCCTGCCCCTTGAGCAAGGAGCTGGACCCAATGATCTTGCGAGGTCCCTTCCAGCCCTAATGTCTACGAAATCTATGAATGATTGCCTGTATCGGGCTAAATTTGTGCTCAGCTGTTCATGCAGCCCAAACTATACCCATCCCTTGAGTGGTCTCTACTCCTTTGGGTTGGTCTTTGCACGCAGTGGGGAGCTTTTCTGTCCCTGCCTTTCATAACAAAATGCGTGGTACTTTGGAAGCTTTGCAACCACCACTTCCATAGCCTAATGCCGTGCACTTGTCAGGAGATGTATCAACCCTGTTTAGAGTCTGTCTGGTTGGAAATCTAACATTTCTTTTTTTTCTTTCTCTGTTACCATTTGCTAAATGTTCTTGTCCCTTTTTTTGCCTCTGTTTTGCTCAGGTGGCTTCGGTGCTGCTCCAGTGTTTGGCAGCCCTCCCACTTTCGGGGGATCCCCTGGGTTTGGAGGGGTGCCAGCATTCGGTGCAGCCCCAACCTTTTCAAGCCCTCTGGGCTCGACGGGAGGCAAAGTGTTCGGCGAGGGTACAGCAGCAGCCAGCGCCGGAGGATTCGGGTAAGTGGACCAGAGGCTAGGGATTTGCAAACCAGCATCCTTATTTGCTTGACACTGTGTTCAGGAGGTTCTGAAAGTTGCGCAACTATAGTAGGATGGATTGCAGAGCCACAGACCACCTCATCAGAAAAACCTTTCATAAAGGAAAACAGTAAAAACCAGGACTTGCGATTCTTTATGTGCTCCTCCCCCCCACTTCCAAGAATTGCAGAGGTTTTATTTTTACTGAAGGCAGACGGCAGAATCCTGGTACCTTGCAATATGAATGACGTAGGCCGTACAACCCAGAGGTCTGAGTGCAGAATTGTTTCTTGTTTGCAAACTTACTTGTGTGTGTTCCAGTTGAGTCCTGAATGCCCCCGGCAAGGAGGTTTGTTCCCCATCTCAGCCAGAGATGGCTTACAGTCCTTTCACCTGCCCTGGCCTTTTAGAGCCTGTTTGTGGCACCGGGATCATTTCCAGAACAAACAGCATGTTCGGCCCAACAACTATAGCTTCAAACCTTGGGAAGCAGCCATTACGCTAGGCAGCAACTCCTCTGCCCTGCAACTTAGGGCTGCTACTGGTAGAAGACAGGGCAGATCTGTGCCTTATGGACTAACTAAATCAGAGATGCATAAGCTTTGTACCCTTGTTGCAAAGAAGGCTAGCAGCATGCTGGGCTACATTAGCAGGAATGTTGCCAGCAGTTTGAGGGATGTGTTTATTCCCCTCTATGCAGCACTGGTGAGGCCACATGTGGAGTACTGTGTCCAGTTTTGGGGCCCCCAGGACAGAAAGGATGTGGATGAATTGGAGGGAGTCCCACAGAGGACATTAAAAATGGTTTGGCAGCTGGGGCACATGACTGATGAGGAGGGGCTGAGGGAACTGGGCTTTTTAGCCTAGAGAAGGGAAGACCGAGGTGGGATTTAATAGCAGCCTTCAGCTCCCTGCAGGGTGGTTACAAAGAAGATGGAGCTGGATTGTTCTCAGTGGTGGCAGATAACAGAACAAGGAGCAATGGGCTCCAGTTGCAGCAAGGGAGATTTAGGTTAGATATCAGGAAAAACTTTATCACTAGAAGGGGGTAGTAAAGCACTGGAACAAGGTTACCCAGAGAGGTGGTGGCCTCTCCATCCTTGGAGGTTTTTAAGACCCAGCTAGGCAAAGCCTTGGCTGAGATGATCTAATTGGGGCTGGTCCTGCTTTGAACAGCGGGTTGGGCTAGATGTGACCTCCTGGGATCCCTGCCAACCCGCATTTTCTATGATTCTCAGAAACAGCAGTTTGCCTCATTAGATGCTTCTCTGATTTAATCTGCTTAGCATCTGATGAAGTAAACTGCTGCTTATGAAAGCTTATGCATCTCTGATTTTACTTAGTCTGTAAGGTGCAAAGCTGTCTTGCCTTCAGCCTGGCATGGCTTTCAAAGCTACCTAAGTGTCTTCATGTCCTGCTTATACATTGCGCAGTAGTTGTGAAGGATAGATAAAAAGGCCTCATGGAAAAGCTGCCCCATCTGCACATGGGTGTTTTGCAAGCATCTCTCTTGTTTTCAGAGTGGAGCTGTCATTCCTGATGCCCCTTAAGAGCTTCCCACGCATGAACTAGGTGGTTCTCACTGCTCTGGCCCTGAGCTGCCAGAGCCCCATGCTCTTTGTGGCAATCTCCACCCTAGATGCTTCAGCAGGGCCTCTGCATCGTGTGGCAGGGCAGGGCTGTGAAGCAGCCTGGAAAACCTCTTCAGAAAAGCTAAAAATACCAAAGCAAAGAGGAGGAATATTGTACGAATAGCATTTCATTTGATGTTAAACTCAATTTATACTGTTCAGCCCTAACTTCTAATTGCCATTGTGCTGCCGAGTTCTGTATTGAAAACAGGCACAGATAATAGCTAATGTCATCCTCTCTGAAGCTTAACACCTCATCCTTAAGGTTTGGAGTAAACAACTTGTGGAGCAATTTGTACCTCAGTGAGATTCATTGTTTAAGGAGTCTGCAGACTGGGGAGGCAGACATTTGTTTAAGCTCTGCACCCCTTCAGATTTTTCTTCACTATTATAGGGCGCCTATAGCAAGGCTGCTCCGACTCGCTGTAATTACAGCACGTTGGAGCAGACTCGATTAATCTAGTCTGCTGAAGTGTGGTATTACTTCAGTTCAGCAGACCCCAATGTCATGTGCATCAGCATCCCCACGCTGAAAAATGGCGGCTTGTGCAACAAGCTTTAGTTAAAGTGCCCCATCACCGTTTTTCAGCACAGGGATGCCGATGCACGTAACGCTCTGGGTGCTCTAATTAAAGCTCCCCCTCCCCCCCACAACTCCCAGAGCATGTGTATAAACGCCCATTAGTCCAGACTAGAGCTTTAGACTGGTTCTGAATTGGCTTAGGGATTTGTTGTTCCCAAAAAAGAGGAAAGGGTGGCAGTAGAGAAGAAAGAACATCTAGCTTTTCTAGCTGGCTGTATGAATCTTGCCTTTAAAGTCCTAAGGAAGCGTAGTCTCTGGAGCACAGTTGAGTACTATTGGGTCCTTTCTCCTCAACAGCTGAACTGCACAGCATGGGGGGCTTGGGGGACATCCCTTTTTAAGAGATGGGAGAACCAAGACCAAGGTCAGAAAACTGAAGTCCCCATTAAGTACTCGCCCAAAGTGTTTAGAGCCAGGATTAGCTCTGAAATTCTTTCATTGTTGGAGCACTCTGCAAACTCTGACACATTAGTGCCACCCTTTTTGAAGCAGTTACATCACTTTGAAGTGCAGCAAAAGCCAATTTCTCACTTTGAAGCCTGCTAACTTTTCCACTGAGCCTTAATTTCTAGAGGAAGCAGGCCTTTGCAGTCACAGCTTTATTGTCAGGTCTCTCCAAGTACTCACTTTCCCATTGGAAATGCATGAGAGGAGTCTGGAGGTGGGGTAGGGGGCTTGGCCAGAACCTGAGCAATGGGTGAAAGTGTGAAGGGGCAGTGGCCTCACTTCTAGAACTGGAATGCGTGATTAAAATGCAGAAGTCTGTGTCAGCGGCTTAAAACCAGTGTTGTTTTTTAGCTTCTACATTCTTTCAAAAGGTACTTGCCTGTAGTAGGAGCTGAAAGGTTGAGTCAGTTTAACCGCAAGTTCCTCATCACTAAATTTAAACTCGAGTTCCTTTCATAGCTAGCAAAGTGACAAGTCGTTTGCTAGAGATGCAGGTCCTGGGAAGATGAAGAATAATCATTAGAAAAAACTGCTGTTTGCAACCACCCCTGCCTTTTCCTCTCCTATCTGAAACAAAAATGCTCTTCTGCCATTACCAGGAAAAGCAGAATAGACTGCGTTTCACTTGCAGTCCTGAGGCAAAGCCATCTGCAAACTACACAGGTCTCTAATCAAAGTCGAGGTGCAGTGAAGTGGCTACTGGAGCATAAGTGTTAATGCAAAGACACTGAAAGGCCCGTCTGTAGTTAGTACCATATATAGAAACAGCCTGCAGAGTCCATCGTCTGTCTCTAGCAAGGCAGAGATTTACTTCCTTCGCCAGGTGACTTGTACGTTGCAGTTCTGCAAGACCTGTCTCTTGTCTCTCTGAGACCAGTGTTTGGATGCTTCAGAAAAACATACCCTAGATGGATATAGATGGAGAAGGGTTTTAACTTTGTCGATTCACATTGCAAGTCAAAACTGAAAGGGGTATGCAGTTGGCTCGGCCTGTTCTTGCTTGATATTTTGTCAGCCTCCTGAAACCAGCGCACCATTTAACTTGACTGGCAGTCTGCTGAAGAGTGGACACTGGCTGGAGTAGCTGGCAGTGTTACTTACCGGTGTGCATGTGCATTGGCAGTGCGGGCGACGAGAAACTTGAACAGCTCGTGCCTGCTCTGTGCTCGGTTCAAAATATAGAAGCCCCTTGTTTTTGAGTATAAATATAGCATACAAAATTGGGAGAAGGACGTTGGGTAGAGGGGAGGGAGTTGCATTGAGAGAATTATCTTGGTATTTCATTAATGTGTCCTGCTGGCGGTGGGTTATTTTTAAAAAGGAAACATTTGCCTCCACAATGCTAGTTTTGGATGGGGTGGGTGGGGAAGGGAGGATCCAATTTCCATATATATAGCTTGAGTCGATTACTGTGGGGTTTTGTTGTTTGTTTGTTTTTTAAATACCAACTACATCGCCAAAATCCATAGAGGCAGTGCTTCCCCTCCCTGCCACCCTTTTGTTCTGTTTAAGTGTCTCAGGTAAAGAGACCAGTGTTGATTAGGTGAAGAGGCTCAGGAAGGAAGCAGAATGATGCATGCTTCAAAATAAAGGGAGAAGAGGAAGGAAGGAAGATTGGAGGAGAGTTTAAGAGCCGACTTGCACAGTCCTGGAACTCGAGAGCCTGGGTCCCGAATGCCAGCTCCGCTGTGCACCTTGCTGTGTGACCTTGGGCACACCATACAACCTCTCTGTTTTCCCCATCAGTGAAATGAGATGATGATGCAGCGTTTCTGAGCTTGATGGATGAAAAGTACTGTGTGGTGGTGGTGGTAATTTAGTATCTTCCACTTAGTGGCTGGAGTTGGGATTTCCTGGCACTAAAAATGCACCGCAGTTGCTGGTCATATGTTAAGCTCAACATTTTTTTTCCCCTTTATGCAGACTGAGCCTTTGCCTTAGGTCTTGGAAAGAAGCTGAGCAAAGAGACAGTTGTTCTATGTAGGCTGTTCTTTCCAAAGCCAGTCTCTCAGATTTAATGCTATATATATAATAAAGGGGATGCCCTGGGCTAGCGTGGGCACTGTTGTCATTGGAGCATCATTCTTCCTGTACCCAGTGTTGGCATGCATTCACTAATACATGTTTTTTCTTTGCAATGCAGTTTTGTCGGCACCCCTAACAACACGGCAACCTTTGGCACTCTGGCAAATCAAAACACTCCTACGTTCGGGTCGCTGTCCCAACAGAACACTGGGTTTGGCTCACAGAGTAGTGGATTCTCTGGCTTCGGGTCAGGCGGAGGAGGTATGAGGAGCTAAACTGCAGTCCCTGTCGTAGAATGAAGCGAGGGGAAAATGTAGACCCCTGTTGCGTGTTCTGAGCAGAACTCCACTGTGACCCTTATTCCAGTCCTTAACCAAGAGGAAGGGCCCAGGATCAGAACCTAAGTGTTGTGCTGTTTGCGACCTGTCTGGGGATCACAAAGCTGGGCACAGGTGGAAAATGGGTGAGGGGCTTTTTTGCATTGTCAAAGCATAGACAATGCCTGGTGCCATGTCTTGTCAGCTGGGACAACTCAGTTGCTCTTGCCTCAGATTTGAGAGGATGGAGGCTCAGGTGTGGATCTGGGTCCAGAAATCTTAATAGGAAGTTCACCAGTCCAAGGAGACAGAGGCAGTTTGTAATGCAGCGTACTGAGCACTCTCAGCGCCCCTTGCTCTGGCTTGCCTTATGGAGTTTGTGTGTTCTGCCAGAGAGAGCAGAACCCATGGCTAGAACCCATTTTTAGATGTGTCCCGGCTGATGTTTGTCCAAACCATGACAAAAGGCACCTTGGCTTGGGGAAGTGAGCCACGGGGTTGAAATTCAGAAGACTTATCACCAAATCGCTGCATGTGGCATTTGGGCAAGTCAGGTTTTTTCACCGTGTGCCTCAATTCTGAGCTTTTACTCTGTGGAATAGATTTTTATCCACTTTCCTTAGCAGGAGATGGAATAATTAACATCTTTACAGTACTGCGCAGCTTATCCTCAAAGGGATCCACATTGCAGAGTTGAACCACAGCCCTAAAGCCAGGTCCTTAGCTGGCATAAATTGTTGTAGTTCCATTGCTTTCAGTAGAGCTACAGTGGTTTACATCAAGCTGAGGATACAGCTGTTAAGAAAGCACATAGACCCATTTGGCTGGCTGCTCTTCCCCTCCTGGGTAAGCCAGCACCACCATTTAAAAAATGCTATGCATTATTTTCGTGGAAATATGAACAAGCTGTGTGCTCCTTGTGTGTAATGGCTGCTAACGAGAGAGGGCAGCTGATTAGCACTAAGAGCCTTTTCTTGCAAACTGAGACAAGCCACCTTCCTTCTCAGTGAAAACTCAACTCTCATTGTTTGCTTGTCATCCTTTCTCCAGCCTTACAGTGGTAAATGGGAAGGGAACTGTAATACGTGTCATGCACAGTCTTTTTACCTCTAACAATGCTTTTTTAATCTTACATTTCTTTCAGGGTTTGGCTTTGGATCATCTAACACGTAAGTACCCATTACTGCTTTGTGTCTGATTTTCATTAAAATAAAAAAGGAACAAGAATGGAAATGTTGCATGATGTTTGAAGGGAAGCTTTGGAAATTTCAATAAAATGTGAATTTGAACAGAATATTTAAAGCAGAAAAGGAGGCTTCTAACTTCATTCATTCGCTCTCTCTCCTTTTAATAGCATTATGCAGACTAACTTCTCTGTGTGGTTAATCCTCCATAAGACTGTTTTCAGTAATACAGTACTTGATATCAGAGCACAGTATAAGCATGGGTAAATAATGAACCTGTTGTACTGATGATGAGACCAGATCACCTGCCTGATCTAATTGAGGTATTGCTTTGTAATGACTCCCAGACCAGTGCTGTAATCAAGACTCCTAGTTGCTGACTTGCTGGGTTGTCTAAAGCAGGGCACTTAAAACTTTGTACCAACTTAACTTTATATGTTGAGTGAAAGTTGGAACGCTCATTCAGAGCTTGTCAGAAGGGCTAGAAGTGCCAACGCATGCTCTGAAAAGCTTTCACTGGCAGTGTTTGATGGATGGGAAAGTTCCAAGAAGCTTTCAATATCTGCTAGCTTGATGAAGAGACACCCTCACTTTCGCTGCTGTTTTCCTTTTGCTTTCACAGATCCTCCTCTGGGTTTAGCGGCTGGAGAAGCTGAGAAGATGTTGAGTCACACTTCCTCCATTGAGCCTTGCCACAGTCCCTCTGTTCGCAGATACTCCTTGTGTACAAACCTCGGAACAGCTTTCTTTTTAAGTGCAGATTCTCTGGCATCTTTTTTTTTTAAAAAACACCTAATAATGCTTATTTTATAAGAATGTCTGTCTGTTGTTATAATGATGTTTGTTCATTAAAACTGTTTTATCTGCCTCCCTTTGGATTGTGTGGGGGAGTTTTTCCAGCACATATTCAGTAAAGCCAAGCTTGCACTATATCATTCTCAGCCTGAGCAGAGCTGCTATTAAAGACCTGTCTCTCTTCCATGCCTGTATGAGAGAGAAGACAGATTGGCCAGATTCAGTTTGGATAAAAATCAGCATAGCTGCTGTTGAAGTCTAGGAGTCACCGACTGAGGATGGTTTGGTTTTGGGGCCCGTTAGTTGTAAATGCAGAGGAAACAGTCACCCCACTGAAGGGCTGTCATTGGTCTTACACAGGACATAGCAGAGAAGTAGGAAGTTCTTACAGAGAAGAAACTAGGACAGTGCAGCCCTGTAGCAGCAGCATGCAACAAAGCCAGTAGGGCACCTCTCCTCTCCGTATTTTAGTAAAGCTCACTCTAAGAATAGGGAGAACGCAATTGAGTCTATACAGAAATCTTTTGGCCCTTTGTATTAAAAATCTGACCTCCATCCAGGCACATTAGCACTTTTCAACTCCTGGCTCAGAGCATTGGATCGTACTGTCGGCTACATTTTCGCTAACGTACGTGACATGGTTCTTTTTTCCCTGAAGCATTTGGTTCCAGTCAGTCACATTTATGAGACCTGCTTTGTGTTTACAGTTGAACATATTTAGCAAATGTTTTTAAAGCGTGCCTCAAAGGCATCCTAAAGAACACTTTCTCTTTAATAATGCATCTGACCACCACAAAATCTCCAAATATGCAATGGATTTTCCTTGCGCCATGAAAGAAGCATCTTGAAGTAGAAGCTTGATAACTGGATGTGGTGTGTGCAGTTGTGTTGCTGTTAATAGAACATATTGATCCTCATTGGATGCTTCAGAATAAGAAATGTAAAGATGTTTCATACAGAGACTTTTAAACTCTATTAAAATGAAACAAAAAGTACAACAGTGTGATAAGAAATGGTCCTTTGGCTGGGACAGCTGGGAGCAGAGTTGTTGGTTGGACCTGTGCATAGGTATCGGCTTGACAGTCTTTCAGTTTAATGCATCCCTTTTACAACTCCATAGTTGAGGCTGTGTCCCCTGTTGTCAGCTGGGAGAACTCCCTGCGTTCCCATGTTCGTAATTCGAGTGGTCCTGAAGGTCCTAGCAGTTGATCCTACTCCCACCCCAGCTACGGAAGGTGACCCTCACAATCTCTCCTGCAACAGCTAGGAGTTGATACTAGGTAAGTTCTGTTTAAAAGGCGGGTGATAGAAGTGCAAGGCATGTGCTGTGTACAAGGAACTGTTCTGGGATGTGGGAAGGCTTTTGCAAAGTTCCAGCTGCTACGTCCCTGCTGGGGTCTGCATGACCCAAGCAAGCTGCCCAGTGCTATTTGACAGCACCATTTCTTACTCCTTTCAGTAGTAGGGACAGTAGCTGGGATTCACCTGACATCAAGGCACTGGGATCAACACTGGATCCGGCTGTAAAAAACTTGGTGCCAAGTCAACCAACTGGTAGGGAACTTGGGGCAGGGAAGGGTGCTGTCGAAGACATGGCGTCCTTGTACCTTCCCCTTGAATGTACCCAATCTCACCAGGCCTGGAAGTGCTGCCACTGCCCTGTAGTTTCCTTTTTTTTATAAATAGCTGTTGGCCCAAGCTGTTGACCTTAAATTCTTAGCATTAATCTGCCGTTGCTGTGGCATGTGACACCTCCTAGCAAGGCATATCAGCTGTGCTCCCCCAGATAGTTAACAAACCACTTGCTATAGAGTAGAGTGGCATGTTAAGCCATTACAGATTTCTTTTTTGGGATGATGGGAGCAGTTGCTGTTCAGTCCCTGTTTAACTTCTCCCCCTGGACATTGAGGGATGTAAGAATTGCTTCAGTTGCTGCCGGAGCACAGGCATCTCAGCAGCCCAACTGGAGCAGCCCTGCTGTCTTAGTAGTGTAGTAGAAATGGGCCTCTAAATTAGGTGTAAAGGAAGCTGAGTAACATGAGAAGGCTGTGGGGGGCCACATAATATATTGGGTGTTAGCCTGCAAAAACCTGTATTTCTGAGGTGTCTCAGGTTGGGGAAGAGTATGCGTGGAGCCTTTCACTAGCAGCTCAGTTCTTCACATCCAAGCCAGCTGGGTAGTCGCCAACAGTTGTCCTCGGACAGCTTTGAGGTGGCCAGCCTGGAAGCGGATGTCCCACATCCAGCTTTTAGTGGATGGATGTCCACTAAAGACATCCGAGAGCAAAGCTCAAGTTGTCCCTTGTTTGGAGTCCTCATTGAGGAAGTGGGCCTGAATCCTGAGCTTCATCAGTCGACCTGCCCGAGGTGGGCTAACCCGTAAACACCCATTAATCTCGGGAGCAAGTCACTCCACAGGTAACTTGAAGGTGACTTGCAAAGGGGACATGCAATTGTGGAGTTTGTCAAAGGTGCGGAGGTTTGTTTTTTCCTTTTTTTGTTTTTGTTTTTGTTTTTGCTTCCTTCTAATACCAGGTTTTTTCCCCTTCCACTATATTGTGCATTGCATGGCATTGGAAAATCAGGCCATTGATGGTATTTGGATATTGTGATGCCACCTGCAACCAGCTGCATTACTTATGGAAAATAACTGCCCTGTCTCATACGCTGGACTAAAATGGTCTTCCTGTTGTCATCCTTGAAGAGGGTATCCAGCCAGAGCAGAAAGGAGACCTGGCATTCCTGATATCATAAGGGGAAAAAAAAAAAAAAAAAAAACCGAAAACACAAAAACCCAAAAACGGGAGGGGAGAAGCCCTCCTGCTTGAGGCATGTCCTAAGTGATCTTCCTGAATTGCAAGGCTGCAAAAGCAAATGTCCCCCATAGGAGAGGCTCATCTCCCCCTTGCAGGCATGTCCCATAGCGTGTGGACTGGTTCCCTGCCTGGATGTGAAGCCCCCTGGGCTGTATTTCTTCATGGTGGCATCAAAGGGACATTGACTTGAGCCAGATACAGGAGGAAGGGGGAAATATTTCCCCGTGGCTGTTGGCATGAGGAGGAGCTATACTACCTGGCTGGGATTAGGATTTCACAGGAGGGTGAAGGAGATGACAGGCCTCTGGGGGCAAGTGGCTTTTCAGTCTCTGCTTTGCCTGGTGCCTTGGTGTTTGCAAGCTCAGCAGGAGCCGGTTCTAGCTGGCGGCTGGCAGCGAGGGCTGGGAGGAGGTGTGACATATTATTGCTCCAATTGCCTGCTGTTGTGTTCGCCTCCCCCGGGTATAAATAGAAGCCGGTCCAGACAAGGGACCTTGACCAGAAATTCCCAGCATTGTTGTCAAACCTTGGAGAGACTTGGGAAGCCCGAAGCAAAATAGAGAAAAGATTTCCAGGCTGAACTCCTCCAAAGTGGTGGGTGGGGGGACGGTGAGAAGAGTGGAAGCCTCCCTTAGCCCTGTGCTAATACACTGGCACTGCTCATCTTCCTCCTCCTCTGACAGCTCTCCTCCTGCACTATCTGTTTCTGGAGAGCTGGAGCCTGAGATTTTGGCACCATGCCGCCTCTTAGCATAACTCCTGGGAGGCAGAGAGCTGCTGCCCCCACGTCCCCGCTCCCAAGGGCCTCAACAGCATTGAGCCCAGCGTTGTTCACTGGGTGGGTTGCTGTGCTTGTGCCAGGCAACCAGCTGATTCAACTGTGTGGCTTCAGCAAAGTCCCTGGATGCTGTTCAGCTTCCTTAGTCTTCCCTTGTCCTTGGACGCGTGGCTGGGAGCTCCTGCCCTGGGGTTTTCAGCTCCTCATAGCAGCGAGGGCTGGGGGCCTTCACCTGTGTCCTCAAATCAGGGCCTGGTGGCAACACTGCTTTGTACAGGGCAATGAAGCAGCAGTGCTGGGGGCATGGAGGCAAACTATGTCCCTCCTGGTACATAGTTCCAGTCAGCCTGTCCCTGGCTGTTGTTGAAAGGCCCGGGGCTTGGTTCATCAGGCTGTGTCCAGTGTGTGTTCTTGATGCGGTTTTTTTATTCAGGTCCTTCCCCCACCATCCTTACACATCCTGCCCGGTTCCTTATCCCCAGCAATATGTGCAATCCCATGTGAGCTTGGGGTGCTCTCCTGGCTAGATACGTGTCAAGTGGTGCATGGGAGGGTGCAGCAGCTCAGACTATTATAAGCAGCTGTGATTGAGCATTGCAAGGGCCCCCTTCATGCCCCCGCGATGTGGCAAGGTTTGGTTTCAGGCGGATGTTGCTCCCGGTGCGATGCAGGCTTCTGCGTAAGGTGGTGGGACCAGGCACGGTCATTAGCAGGAACCTCCGTGCAGTCTCCCTGGGATGGCAGCTGCTCGGCTCTACGCAGAGCCCTGCGGTAGGAGCAGGAAAGGGGCGGCTGCAGACTCGCCAGCTCCCCCAAGCTGGAAGAGGCTTTTCCTCCCCCCACCTCAGGGCCAGGTTTCTCTCTGTTTTAATTACAGTAAATGACAGGGTCCTGGATGGGGGACTCAAGAGGCTGTGGTAAGCCTGCTCCTCTGGGAGTGGGGGACAGGAGCTGATGCCTCTTGAGGAGTGGGGAGGCAAGGAGCACCTGGAGCAGCATGGTAGTATCACCGCGGGGGAAACCCCAAGCCCTGCCAGGACGTGGGGAGAAATTCCCCTTCTGAACTATGTCTCACCAGTGTCCCAGCTCCTGTGAGTCCAGACAAGGGGGAGGGCCTTGCAATCCCCCCAGGTATGGAGGGCCTCTCCTGTCACTGCTGGGCCCTCCCGTGCTTGCATCGGGCCACAAGAGCTCTGCTGGCCTCCAGCCCCTTCTCCCTGTAACGGAGAGTCCGGGGGCAGGATACATATTGCCTTCCTGTAGTGGAGCCCTGGGGCATGTTGGCAGGTCTGTGAGGTCTTAAATCTCTGCCTTTGCCTTGCAGCCAGAGGTCCTTGCCGGAGCTGGAGTGGTGATGCTACAGGTGCTGCACAGACCTTCCTTTCCCCCGCCATGGACAGCAGGCGCTTACTTTTGGGAAGGAAATTCCAGCCAGAGCTCTCTGTCTCTGTGCCAGTCTCTCTGGGGTTTGCAGTGCAGCAA